CCATCCGCATTGGAGTGTCTCCATCAGCCCTGTAGTGTCTCCATCCGCACTGGAGTGTCTCCATCAGCCCTGGTGTGTCTCCATCAGCACTTGAGTGTCTCCATCAGCCTTAGTGTGTCTCTCTCTATCAGTACTGGTGTGTTTCCACTGGTGGGCACCCCAAACTTGACTGACCCTGAACCCATCACCTCCACCCCCACCCTCATCCTCATCCTCATCACCCACCCAAGCCTAAATCCCTGGTGTCAGCCTGGAGTCCTCCTTACCCTCACTCTAATTTCCCTCCCAAGCCCTTTGACCTCCTTCCCCCACCTTCTCCATCCCCTGACCTTGTCTTAGCTGACATCATCACTCACGTAGACTGCTACAGGGACCTCCCTGCTGAGCTCCCCACCCCAGTCTCGCCCACTCTGGTCCATCACGCGCGGCACCTGGCTTGGTCTCTAAGAGGCTGAGCTGCCTTGTCCTTCCCCTGTCTAATCCTCAGACACTCCCACTGCCCTCAGGGGAATCCCAGCATTCTTTGCCCCCATGACTGGCCCCTGCCTCTCCTTCTCATCTCTGCACCCCTAACTTAACCTCCTTCATTTTGCCATTTGGCCTTTGCCCCACTGTCCTGGGCCTGAAGAACCCTCTTCATGCCCTCCGCCCCCACCCTGGAACTCTTGCTTACCCTGTCAGGCTCAGCTTGGCTGTTGCCCCTTCCAGGGGGCTTCAGAATGTTCTCATCACTTGAGTCTCCCCAAGACCACGCCGCTGCACCAACTCCGCTCTCAGGATACCTGGGCACATCACCGCCACACACTGACTGCAGCTGGTCACCCTGAGCACTTCTGTCTCGCCCAGAAGCCTCCGTAAGGACCGTAAGGACCAGGGCCCCACCTGCCCTGTTCCCAGCCAGGTCAGGCACATGCCGCTGGGTCTGTGCTTTGTACAGAGCACTCAGTCAAGGCGGCAGGAAGGGCGGAGACCGGACACCCTTAGACATGGGAGCCTCCGTCCAGACACGGCTGCAACTCCTGAGGAAAGGAAGGATGCCCTTTTCTAATCTGCACACAGGTGCCTCGGGAGCCAGTGGCAGCACTGCTCACTGCTGTCCCCCTGAGCTGGGGACAGTCCCTGCCCATGCACAGCAAGCCTGGCACAGGGTAGGCACGCCACAACATTTCTTGTACTAAATGAATGGAATGTTCCAGCAGCTCCCCCAAGAGGGCCCCAGCCTCCCTCTTGCCACCTAGGCCTCCTCCCAAGCAGGTGGGGACCATGGATGGAGGAGGCCACGGGGCAGACCTGCCCTTGCCTGGCACTTACCCACGGTGCTGAACACTGTGCAGCAGAAAAAGAGCGCGCTCAGGAAGGACCAGTCTGCGAACCACTGGGGCTTCACCCTCTGCAGGTGCTCCCGGAGGGCCTGCTTGCTGTGTTCCATAACTCGGGAAAGAGACACCAGGGTCAGGGAGAGGCTCCACCTTCCAGTAGCTCCCGCCCAGCCAAGGAGATGGAGCGTTCCCCAAGGCCCAGCCCCCGCCCTGTGGTCCCTGTCGACACCAAGCTTGGCCCTTGGAGCCCTCTAGCATGTTTCTGCCCCTCAGGTCCTGCCTCTGCCCCTGTAGAGATTAGGCCACATAGCCAAACACCTTCCAGAGAGGCCCGTGAGGTTCAGCCTGAGCCCAGCCCTGGCTTTCTTAGCTTTCTGAACCTCCATTTCTTTCATCTTTCAAAGAGAGACAATAACCTCTCTGTCTCACTCACCGGATTCTGGAGAACTGAAAGCAGAAAGCTTTTAGCAAATGCAAGCTGTTGCATAGATGCATATTGTACCCCCCCCAGGAGGTCCCTAGGCTGCTGGAGCTCATAGTCAAACTGTGATCTCTGGGCACCAGGTGTCCGAAGAGGTGCCCAGGCCTGGGAAACCTTGGCTTCCAAAACATGGGTCAGGGCTGGTTTCTCCAAGAGGTTCCCAAATGGTTCCATTAGCCTGGGTATTGTACCCCCCCCAGGAGGTCCCTAGGCTGCTGGAGCTCATAGTCAAACTGTGATCTCTGGGCACCAGGTGCCCGAAGAGGTGCCCAGGTCTGGGAAACCTTGGCTTCCAAAACATGGGTCAAGGCTGGGGACTCTGGTTTCTCTGAGAGGTTCCCAAATGGTTCCACTAGCCTGGGCAACCAGCGGGGTGTGGGACTCCAGACGTTGCCTGCCAGAGTCCAGAGTGGTCCAGAGAGGATGGCAACGAGCCTGGCACACAGCAGGGAGTCATGACTCCTTGGAATGGCCCAGCCTGGGAGCCCAGACACCTCCATTCTAGGCTCAGCTCTGACCCTGCACAGCTCGGTAGCTGTGAACAAGAGGCTTCTCTCTGAGTCTCAGTTTGTCTATCGGGGAGAAGCACGACAGGGTGGTGAAAGGCTCAGGCTCTGGGATCCAAGTGCCTGTGACCGAGTCCCTGGCTCCATTTCCCTAGTTTGTACTCTTGGGCAACCTGCTTAACCTCCCAGCGTGCAGACTCCCAAGCTGGACAAGGGTGACCATTCTCACTCAACTGTAGGGTTCTGGTGAGGACGGAGATCATGTGTGATAAGGGCCTGGCCCAGGGCCCACCACTAGCACTAACTGAGCATTCCAATCTCCAGTGAAAATGCAAAGTGGAATTGTACCAGCTCTGGCCCCATACTCTGCTATGTGCTAGAATCACCCAGGCAACTTCTTTATAAAAAGAAATGTTCTCGTAGGCCAGCTGCACCAGCCAAGTGGTTAAAGGAACTGGATCCCATATGACTGACCACCCACTTCAAGTCCTGGACTCAGCGACTTGAAAGACACCCTGGGCACATGTGCATGCATGCCCTAAATCCCAACAAGATGGAGAAATGGAGGAGAAGGGATTGCAACAAGACCACACCCCATGGGTGGATGAGGGGGGTGTTTCCTCCCTCTGTCTCTGTCTCTCTCCGGAGAGTACACACACCCTCTGGAGAGTACACGTGCCTTACTTAACTAATTTTATTGTGCATATTTAAAATATATGTGAGCTTATGAGATGTGTGTGCATATTTATTTATTTAATCTTTTATATTTGTATTTATTTACTACAGTGAAACAAAGATTTCACGCCCAGCCCTGGAGGTCCTGATTAAATGAATTTGGAGTGGAGTCTGAGAATGTGTACTTACAACCAGCTTCCTGGTTTGGGGAGCTCAAAAATGCTAACACTTCAGACCCTGTGAGGGTCCAGAGAGTCCATGCAGCAGCAATGGCATCTCCCAGTCCACTGAGTAGTCCTGTACCTGTCTGGTAAGGGTACAGGGACCAGGATCCTCCGTGGAGGGGAGACTGCCTCCCTTGACCATCCTCTAATCAGCCCCAGATGCAAGGACCTGGTCCAAAAGCAAGGTCCAGTCTAGAGTAGGAACTGGAAAAATGAAAGAAAAAAAAAAAAAAAAAAACCCTGCCTGTGCACTCCATTCTGCCCCTGGGCAGTCTCCCAGTGTACCAGCCTGCTCCGGGCCCATCAGACCCCCTCCCTGACTTTTAGCATCTGTCTCTCCTTTATCTTTTATTTATTTATCTTGCTCTGTTGACTGCACCTTTGCAAGTTCCTTTGGGGAACAGAGCATAGTAGGAACAAGGGACATGTCACGAACACAGTGCAGGGAGGACACACAGGAAGTGCCTTCTTTTTCCCACAATCCCAGTGCCCCTTCTCTCCTTTGCTTCCCACGGGAGCCCTGTGACTGGCAGGTCTGAGCTTTTGGGTCCCCTTCTCTCTGGAAGATTGAGACCCAGAAAAGGCAAAGGCTCTGTTGTCACTGTCCACAGCTGGCTGGGAGAGCAATCAGGATGAGAAGCAAGGCCCCAAGTTCTCCAAGTCCCGCCAGCCTTCCCTGAGCCTGACCACAGAAAAGTATTTGAAACAGGAAGGGGCAGGGGGCAAGGCACTCATTAGGGGTCCCAAACCCAATTTGGACTGGATTGCTCTTTGAATTTAAGAGCAATCTCTATGAAATACCTCATGGGCTGGGCAGGAGGACCAGCGGAGGAGCCCCCAGCTTCAGATTTCTTTCCCATCCACCCACCCCACCGAATCGCCAGCAGTCCACCCCTGAGCCTGCCAGTCTGGGTGGGGCTGGGAACTGAGGCAGAGGAACCGGAGTTGGTATTTTCAGAGCACCTATTGGGTGCCCAGTGCTTTTCCACACTCTTCACTGGAATCCTGAGAGGCCATTAGTCTCCCCACTTTCCAGAGGAAAAAACTGAGGCTCAGGGAGAAGTCTCTTGCCTAAGGTCACCTAGGAACGGGGAGGAAGCATGCAGCCAGGCCCCAGACCTAGCCTCCTACAGGCAGCCCTCTGCTCTCTGGCGACTGCCTCCACCCATGGAAACAGGCCAGCCCGTGCAGGTGAGCACCTACCTGTTTTGTTGCATTCCAAGATGCTGCAGAGCTTCTCCAAGAACATCTCAAACCCCTGGTCATCTGTGGATCTCCCGAGGACCTGGCCGCCCTCGATGGCAGAAAAGAGTGCAGCTCCCACCAGGGCGTAGGTCACCAGGGAGCAGAGGAAGCAGAGGCCAGGGAAGAGCTTTCCCAGACACTCTGGGCAGCACCTCCTGGCCTGGGGTGGCCCAGCATCCTCCATCCTCCCCACAGCACAGACCCAGGACAGGCAGAACTGAGGGAAGAAGCCGTGGCATCCGGGCCCCATATGAAGGAGGAGGTGGGCGGAGGAGGGGGTGGGCAGTGGAGTGTTTTCAGGCCTCAGCACTAAGTGGATGGTGCCTGCATTTCCCCAAGGACCCGGAGGCAGCCAACAGCACATCCCGCTCAGCTCATCTGAGTTACTCAGTTGGTGTGCCCACTCGAGCCCCAAATTGCTATTGATCCGCGGGGCCAGCCCGGCGCTGCCGGGCGCAAGCTTGGGTAGGCCGGCTTGGTTGTTTTTTAGTGTTTTGGCCTTTTCCATGCGGAAGCTGCAGTTTGACTTCCAGTCAGCACTCTTTTGTCACGTGATTGTCCTTCCTGAGGGCTGTCAGCAGCACCCCAGGGCCTGGCGCCCCTTCTCCCAGACAGGAAGTAATAGCACTAGCTAGAGTGGCCAGGGCATCACTGGTCCTAGAGGGCCGTTATCCTGTGTGGATCTAATTAGCAGTCCCAATTCATGACTTCCTCGTAGTACACTCGTCCCTACTGTGGCCTCACGGTGGGTGACATGGACTTCCTTAACCTTTAGCTTTAGGCTAGGCCGCGGGCTTGTCCAGCCAATCAGGTGTTAGCAGCTCTGCTGTGAGCCGGCTTGAAATGCGCCAGTGCAGTTAGACTCGCTCAGCCGTGCCTGTCTTTGCCACAGGAAAACGTGCCCCAGGTGGCAGATGCAGAGAGGTATCCACGGCCACTTCCTCCCTCAGGAAAGGGTTCGCTGTGCCGCTTCAAGCATTACGATAGCCTCCAGTCATTTCTTTCAAAAATACCCTTTTTTGGGACATAGAAATGGTTTATTGTGGGTTGATGATGACATGTATAGTATCCTCAGCTGAATTGGTCTGAGAAGTATTTCATGGCGGGTAAACTCTCTTTTCAAGCCAAATGATTATCTAGTGATTGAATGCTTAAAAAATAATTAGAATAAATAATAATAACCTAAAAAAGTGAAAAGTTATCTGATGATGATGTGGATATTAATGTCTTTGTCTTGGCTGATAGGCATGGTAATTGTGCTGGAAAAACAAATGTAATATACTGTAAAGATATATGAGATTCAATGTAATATAAAAATTATGACAATAATAAATAAAATTTAATTTTAAAAAATTGCCTTTAAAAAAAAGAAAACAACAACATAAGGTTTTTGCCATAGGGAGCATGTGCTCATCAGAGAGAGACAGGAAGAAGGAAAGGAGAAATCACTAACCCCCAGTCGGGGTGAGGAGGGTGGTCATACCACAATCCTTTCTCCATTCACCCAGGATTTGGGGCACACAGACACATACACTCACCTGGTGTGATTTTCAAGCCAGCAGGTCCAGGACTCCATGTGGGAGTCCAGTGCCTTAGCCACTGTGCTACATGCTGCCCCCACCCCCCAAATTGCCTGCTTTAGAGTTCTCTTCAGGAAGCCCCTGTCCAGTGATCGAGCAAGGCAGAGGTAGAAGAGCCTACCCTTTCTGTTCAACTCAGGACTCCTTCAGCTTGCAGTCTTTGTTCCCGGGGCTCCCTGCTGGCCTGGAGAGACATTGCCATATCTGCACAGTGACCCAAAGACCTCCTCATAGCTGCTTCCTCCTTTTCCTTCCGCAGGTCTTATATCCCAGTAAAGCTTTGTTACCCCTGACTTTATCTCTGTACCTGCTTCCCAGAGAACCCAACTTGTAAGAATTGGCCCCAGAGTCTGCAAAAGTAGCTCTAAGATGGAGTTTGAGAACTGGGTCACTCGATACCCAAGTGGCAAGGAAATGTTGTGTAGACAGCTATTGGTGCAAGGTGGCCAGCCAGTTATTAAACAGGTGGCTACTGGTGAGGCACACTGACCAGTGCAAAATGCAGGCATTTAGAATGTATTAGAGGAACGATGGGTACAAGGAGAAGAGTGGATGGATATTGCAAAGTGGCAATGATTCCTGGAAGCAAACGTGTAAGAGGGAGGTTAACAGGACAAAGTATGGCCGCTATCGCTGCAGTTGCTTTCTGCAGGACGGATACTCATCATCTCCTTCCTTCACCATCCATCCTAACTTCCCCGTGCCCTCTGCCACCCCTTTCTACTGGTCTCAATGGCATACCTGATGGCATGGCCCAAATCCTCATCCTTGGGGGATCTGATAACCATATCCGTTTCAAGTTGGGTTTGCTTGTGCTTGTCCATTCACAGACATGGCTGGGCAAGAAGTACCAAGAGGTATCCAGGGAATCTCTTGAGTTCCATCCATATTCCTCTCTGCCTCCATTGTGTGAAAGCAGCCTTACCTCCTTCTGCTGACCAGATTGATTGCTCATAACAAAGTGGCTACCTCCTTTCTTACTTGCTAGTTCTTGGACACAAGAATCCTAAAGTGTCCAAGCAACAGTCACAAGGTATAGTTCAATGGGCCCCTTGTTGGCTTTCCAGATGAAGTATGTCTTTCTTGGAGACCAGAACCTCAAATCCTGCAGAGCCCAGAGTCCTGGGGATAGAATAGGGTGAAAGTGTATGGTGATATAATTTTAAGTTTAAAATGGAGAGCAGCGAATGCTTCATTGCTTTTATACTACCTTGAAGGAGAAGAAGGCAAGATCTTTTAAGGCCTGGATGAGACAATTGCCCCAAGTGCAATACTTCTAACCCCCCAGCCTCCTAGATGGAATCAAGTATAAAAACTCTGCCTGGAACCACTAGATGGTGTAATGGTTATGTTGCTGGACTCCCACATGGCCTACTGTGGTTCGAGTCCCAGAACTGGTGGCTTGAAATTCATGCCAGTGCACGTGCATGCATGCCCAAAATCCTGAGAGGAGAATGGAGGAGAAGGGACAAATACCACCAGCGCCTGCTGGGAGCCAGAAGATGTGAAGATATGAAGGTTCCCCACCATCCATGTAAGGAGAGGAAGTAGATACATGGGTTCATACACTTCAATACAGTGAGGGATGAGTTACCAAGTAAGACACAAAGACTCTTTGCTTTATGAAGCAGAAGAAAGAGGAACTAGAGCAGCCCAGGTAGCGCTCATGAGGAGAAGAGTTCTGAGGGTGCCAAGAAGAAGCAGAATAATGGCCAACAGCAAGGGCACCCATGGTAATAAGTCTCGCTGAAATCAAACTTTCTAGTTCCTCAGGGTGGAAATAATAGCGAAATTCTCTTCTCCAGCTATGGGACCTTTCTTGCAGAGAACAGTGTGCAAGGTTCCGGTAAAATAAAATCAGACTTTAAGACCACTTCTTGTTCTCCTAAGCCCCAGATGGGTACCTCAGTCTAGGCGGGGAGGGCGGGGGGGATGTATATATATATATTTTTTTTTGGAGAGGTTTTTGCTATAGGGCACGTGCGCTTGCCAGACGGACAGAGAGAGACAGAAAGACACAAAGCGAGAAATCACCCCCCAGGGGGAATGGCCACATCACAGTCCCTTCTCCTTCATTCTCCTCTTGGGATCTTGGGCACACACGCACACATGCCCAGCGTGAGTTTTAAGCCACCAGGTCCAGGACGCGAACCGCGGTCAACTACATGGGAGTCCAGCGACATAGCCATTACACTAACTGCTGGTCTCTCAGGTTGGGCATATATGAACAATGGAAGAAGAAGATGAATCCCTCTGCTCCAGGATTGGGAGAGAAGTATGGTTTGAAAGTATGTGTCCCTGCACATCTTAAGACCCATTGTGATAGTATTAAGAGACGAAAGCCTTAGGATGTGACTAAGTCACTGGGGCAAAGCTCCAGGGACCTTATAAAAGGGCTGGAAGGAACTTTCTAAGCCTTTCTGCCCTTTCACCTTCTGCTATGTGAAGATACAACGACAGGAACATGCCATAGGCAGGACAGGATCGCACCAAACACCAGACCCAGTGGTGCCTTGATCTTGGACTTCCAGTTCTCAGAACTGTGAGAAATCAGTCTTAAATTTATGAATTACCCAATCTGTAGTATTTTGTTATAGTAGCACAAATGGACTGAGACAGGAAGGAGGAACACGACCTCAGCAGGTGTCCCCCCGGGCAGCGGCAGCACAGTCACTGTGCGTGTTCTGCCCCAGTCTTCCCTGGAGAGATGTGGCCACCATGTTCTTCCAACCCCACCCCATTCTTTAAAGAAAATAGGCACTCAAGGGTTGGGCTGTTCGGGCACAAAGAACCCACCAATGCTCTTACAAATTGTGAGAAACCAATTACACTCCTGCATGGGGCATGGCATTGGAGTCTAAAATCAGATTGCTGTGCTCCAGTCAAGGTGACTGCATAGCCAACTTTGTATTTATGGCCTACAAGCTTAATCACTTCAGGGGAGAGTGTGGGAGCTGAAGAAAGCAAGCCTTAAAATAAAAAGGCGGGTGGAGAGAAGGCAAGGGTGGAATGCTGGCCTCCAAAGCTCGTTTGTCTGGTCCAGCCCACACATAGCCTCCGATGGGCACCACGAAGGTTAGGTCTTCTACTGTGCCCTGTTGGCTTCGCCCGGGGGTAGGGTTATGTGGCCTGCTGTGCTGGTCAGTTCTTCCCAGAAAAAAAATGAACATGCACGAGCAAACCATAGAGGAAGACAGGACCTGAAGGCAGTCACTGATACAATGAAAAAAAAAAAAAAAAAACCTACCTGGGGATCCCATTCCCTGCCTCGACAATCACTTAGTGTACTGGGTGTGATCAAGGGGAAGCTGCTTTAACAAAGAGGACCAAAGTCACACACAATGGTGTGGCAGTGTGGGTTCTCCAGAGAAACGGCACCAGCAGGATACACCTAGAGATAGAAGAGGAGACTTATGAGAATTGGCTCACTCAGTTATGAGGGTGAGAAGTCCCACATATGCTGTCTGCAAACCGTGGGCCAAAAGAGCTATGGTAATTTAATCTGAGCCCAAAGGCCTAAGAACTAGAGAAAGCAAAGGCGCAACTCTCTCTGAGTGAGACAAAAAGAAAAAAGAAGAAGAAGAAACCAGAAAGAAAGAGAGAG